AGAACAGTTCACAATGAGGGTAACAGGTTATTAAAAGCCGAGGCAGGAGGCAGCCTGGGGCTGTGAGTTCATGAGGAGAAGGCAAGTTCACCCGTTGGAGAGGTCTCCTCACGTGGCCGGGGTGGTAAGTGGTCACTGCATAATAAGCGCCGACCGTTGCACAGCCCACCCAGCCAGCGCATCGCCGAACCACCGTGCCGGTACCGCGGCCTCACAGTCACAGCCAGGGTCCGAAACCTGCCGGGTCACCGAGCACACCGGCCAAACCAACACGAAATCGAAAGTAACTAATAATAATCGAACCTTGGGCGACTTTCGGACATGCCTTGCCGGGATGTAATCTTGGAAGCAGGGTTTTTCTTCCGCGTTTGTCTTTATCAATCGTTCAATGTTAGAAGGGGTCACTTTTTTTCTCAATGACCCAACCAACATCAAGTCCAAACTGACAAGCAATCATTGGACCGCCAGCGACTTGCCAACACAACTTTTCGGGCGGCAATGTTGGAACCAAAGTTTTTTCCTCTCGCGCTTCTCGCTACAATAACCAGCGCTTCACTCCACGCACCCAACTCAACTTTGACTTAGAATTCATTGGTCGATTGGCAAGATGAGGGAACTTGACTGTCCTGGTTGGCTGGTTGCGTGTTTGCGTCGTGGGTTTCTCGGAGTGGAGCATTGTGGTTGATCGTTTGATGTTGGAACAGGGCGCTTTTTCTCGACCCATCTAACGTCCGGTTGCTAATTATTGCAAACGCGGCGGTTCCTGTAGATCTTGAGCCGAGAGACTCGAAGTTTGATTTCCCTCTACTTAAGAGAGTCCGGAATGTCTCATCTCGAGGTCTTTCTTCATTGCTCAGAGCATCCACATCCTGGAGAAGTGACCTTTTCTTTCCTACTTCTACTCGACTCAATATTACGTTGACAGCAATTCCTCAATCGTTACCATTATTTTACATAGTACTCTTTCACCTTTTCTTTAAATATCTTCCATCACTCCGAATCGACAAGATGGGCAATAAGCAATCTACACCGCAGAGACGCAACACGGACAACGCTGAGGAGCACCTTGTGAGTATCCTTTTTCTGTTTCACCACAATACCGCATTTTATCAGACGGCATGCAATACATGTAGCTCCAGTGTTTGTTGGCAAAAATCAAATAAAGCAGACCGTGATTGGCTGACTTCTCGGCGCTGGACAGCAATACCATACACTTCACGGTCCTGTTGCCGCGAAAGATGTATCCAAACATCTCGAGACTGTACCCCCGCCTCACACACGCACCCCATCCAGGTACCCTCATGAATTTCGTGGCACTCAGGTCCGGGGTGAAGGACCAAAGACCTTTGACGACTTCGCCACGGGTCCAGGTCGATCCCAGGGGCCTACTGGTCCTATGCAAGAGTATCCCATCCCACAGTCTGGCGAACAATTCAATTTCCAGTACGACCGTCGCCCCTTGAACGCGCGCCAAGCAAATCGACGCCTTCATCCGAATGAACGAGCAAATGTGATGGGGCCTGCCGACGGCCGACCGGCGAACGATCCTTTTCAAACCCGGGCTGCGGTTCGTGTGGCACAAGTCAATGGCGGAGAGAAAATGGCCGTTGTTGGTGTTATGGCTCATCCGACGGGTGATACGGCGAAACTTGTGCGAGCACCCCTTGAGCCCCTCGGCCGTGAGGGTCGGCAAGAGATGACGCGGCACGCTGATGAACGTGGTCGTGTCCGGACGTACCCGCCCCGTGGCATCGACGCCAAAGTCTACGAAGATGCCGAGACTAGATCTGGGAGGGTACGGCCGCCTGCCCATCCTCAGATGAGGGTGTGATGGAGCTGGCATCCATCGAATGACGGCAGCAGTACATACTCGATGCATGTCAAGTTAGCATGCTTTGCCAGATGTTATCCCCATGGTTGGTGAGGCTTAAATGGACTTTAAGCGGCATTCAGCGACAAGGATGTCTCAAGCAGAACGAACTAGAAACCATTTTCTTCCGGATAGATAATACAGGGCTCTGTTCTCAACTATGGCTATGATTATCAGGTCTCTATTTCCCTCAAGCGGACCTATCCAGCAAGATATATGATTCGCTATTGCAACTGCATGCCGCTGCCTAGAACCACTCATCGTTCACCATGCTGTACCCAAAAGGCGAAAGACCAACGCTTCAACTACCGCCATATTAAAGTTGGTAGCAAGCTCCAGCCTTGGGGCTGGTGAAAGACACTCCACTAGGGTGGTAGTTCTTGCCTCCCTTGTACGAGTCGCACCAGCTCTGCGGGACATTGGCGCAGTTGACCGATAGGTCGCCGTAAATGTCAGAGGAGCTGTAGACCTGTCCCTTTTGATCGTTTTGGCACGTCCGCTGGGCCCAGGTTTTGAACTGCTCAAAAGATCCGTCTCCCTTGGCTGAGATGGTGACCCAGTTGGCGGCCATCACCGGGGTGATGAGGGCGAGGAGGGAAAGCTTGACCATTTTCTAGTCTTTGTTAGTCGACAAGTTACTTTGTTTTTGATCGAAAAAGGACGAATGTTTCAAAATGGCATACTTCTAGTTCTTGCTGTAGAAATTGCGTATTCGTATTGTTTTGGGAGAAAAAGCTTGAGTGCGGTGTCCGTCAGACTCCCGATACTCGCTACTACCAAACAGAAGCCATATTTATACGAGAATAACTTCAACTCCTTACGCTCCTGACTTCGGATATTGCGGATTGAACGACCCTCGGACACGCCTAGTAGCTTTTGGATTCAATAACTTCTGAAAAGTCAAATTAAATGAGTTGCGAGAGCGAGACCCACCTTACATGGGTTTCGGCACCCTCAGGATAGTTGCACTCGCAACTTGTTGAGTTATTAATGCGAAATGAAGGAGTCTGCATTTCCAAGTCAACTAGACAACTAATTCCTCAAGTAAGTATGTGAAGTCTATCTTTACATGAAGGAAGTCGCTGTTACGTGTACTATAGTATGCTGTATTCGGGCTAATTGCCTTCCCTGGAAAGACCAGAGGTTCGAGTTCGTGAGACTATGACTCGTGCTTGGGTCGAACTTTGACCGGCTATGTAGACCGTGCCGAGCAGAAAATCACTGATCTCCATTTCTTGTAGGATTTCCCGTTCTCCCCGGCTTAGATCGGTGATCAACAAAGCTTGTACTTTTGCTGGGTATTCCGGCTAAAATTCCAAACACATCTCTGTTCTCTGAGCAATCAGGCTATCGGACGGATGAAATGCCGCGTGCGCATATAATTGCTCAATTCGGGCCAAGAATTTATACTCTAGAAGTCTTAAGCTATTTTAACTTCCAACCAATAGCCCTAGCACAATCTTACCAACTTGATCTTTATCCGAGGGCGATTGTTATTGATCAGCTCCATCTTCTCATACGTTTCGTTGTCATCCGACAATTATGAACGGTGAAACTTAGGACTTGAGCCGCTACCTCAAGAACTAGAGCACTATCCCATCATTCTTTTGTTCACACCGCCATTTAATTCGTGACCTTGAGGAGTGTCCTTGGACGTTGAAAATCGCAATGATACCAACCGTTGTATCGAACCTGCATTTCTATGCACAACAGTAGTATAAATGTCACCCGCTTAGTCCAGACTATAGCTGCTGCATCATAAGAAAATAAACCCAACTTATATTGACTGGAGATCTATATCACCAGACAGATTCTGATCTTACACCAAGTCCTCAAACCCGAGGGTAGCACCAGCAGTCGAAGTTGTTTCCCTGTCCATCTTTGGTTCTGACGCTGTTAGGAAATGAAAGCCAGGTAGAAGGAGTTTGACAACTTACTGCAAGCACACAAACGACAATGACCCATTGCAATCAGACTATTCAGGACGTCAGTGCCTTTTTCAAGACTTGTATGTGATTACAACGGGAACGTACACTACAGAACTTGGCGCAGGCGTTCTTCTGAGAGTCGTATACGCATGTCTTGGACTGCAGTGAACACTCATGTCAGTATAAGCTCAACAGCAACATATAACGTGTCAACCATCCTTTACGTACCCCAGACGGGGCACAAGCATTATTGCCTGAGCAAGTGATTGTGGCAGAAGCCACGACTGCCAGGAGGGAGATAATAAAAACTTTAGAATGCATGTTATCAGATTTGTTCAAAACGTTCCGGGGGTGTGATCTGAAGAAAAGTGTGCCAACATTGCTCTAATGTACTTTTGGCGTCTGTCCTTTTCTCTTTTGCAATCTATGGGCCACTATCAGGATGCAAAAGGCTAAGTATCTGATTTGTCGAGTCCACATCACTATCACCAATATGACTACATAACTCCGCCGGAATGACACTCAAACTGGAAATCAGCTGGCTCCACACACCGCATGAATGCTCCATTCACTTGTCAACATCACTCTCTCTCTCTCTCACCAGCTCTCACTAACATTCAGTCCATCGTGTTCTTTGTGTGACATTTCTGCTAATGTCCGCAGTCCCATAGCAACAACTTCATTGCATCTCAGCCTGTTGCTTTTCAATAGAAGACTCGGATCGCTTCAAGTGGTACGTTTTTATCTCGGGTTTCTGTGGGTACAGAAACAGGAATCACTGTCTTTGGGAATTTGATTCTTGTTTCCAGATTGGCTCGCTGGGCCATTTGAAGTGTGATTAAGGCAAGGCTCATATGAGGTCGTCAGTGAATAGGTCTTCTAATTGACAATACATATCTCCGAATCGAAGGAATTGTTTCGAGTGACAATAGATCATGCTCTGTGCTTGCGTGACTGGGGACAAGAAAGGCAGTTAAATCACTGGACGACATTCGTCCGCGGCTGAGTTAGCGCAGTTTTGAGCAATTTATGTGATTGTTCTTATCTAACTGCGAACTCTTGGTGAGCTACATGTGACTATCGACAGAGTCGCCTAAACCATGACTCTTTCTCCACATAGAATGAAGTGAACGTCCTGCCATGTGACATCTGACCTCCTAGAAGTTGCGCTCCATCGAAGTCCAAGGAACAAGCCATTCCGTCTAGTTGCAGTCGTTGCAGTGCAACAGGCAGTTGGTCTGGCAGCCAGCGCGCTGGAGGGAAGACATGCGGTCAGGTCCGCCAAAGTCTTAGAGAAACTTTGAGTTAGCACCTTCGGACTTGATCGCTCGGCGGGAGTCTTCCAGCAACTTAATGATGCTACTTACTTTTGTGGCATTCGCCAGCGCACTTCGCGCAAGTTCCCTGGTAAGGGGCGGCACCACTGCATCCGGCCATGACAGCAGGGACGATGGCAGCGGCGATGAGGAGGATGGTCTTCGCGAACTGCATTGTAAAGGATGATTATGGGGTTGGTGAGGAAAGAGTTGATGTAGATGGATGGCTTTGGGTGTGTTTGAATGTGATAATGTTGTAATTGTGGTTGTTGATGTTGTAATCGAGTTCCTTCAATATCGCGAAGACACCTGCCTTTTATAATGTCCTCTAGACTGTCGATAACTTTCAAGGTCTGCTATGTAGCCAATCGTTTTCTCTAAAGCCGATTGACAGATTATCCGAGGCTGATTGAGAGAATTGAAGCCCTGATCCGACTTCACCAATCTCATGATGGAAGGAGCTCAGACATCGCCTCGCTCATTCTCTCGAAGCAGCGTAGCGCTTACAAGAGTGGATAGTCCGTGAAGGAGGCTGTTGCAAGCATTTAGAGTTATCAATCTCTCTGCGGGTTAGATGTGGGGACTCAGGCAGCGGCCCGCAATCCTATTACCTTGTTCCTGCTCTAGGCATCGACATTCTGCCGGGCTCGAATGGCTTGGCTCGCACTTCCTCGCACTCGAGCATTCCATCAGCCCGCCGATAACCGTTGATCTCTACTGAGACAGGTTGAGTTTAAAGCTTAAGTAAGCTATGTCTCTCGGTTTGGAAGGATTTTGTTACGGGAAGAGATTATCACATCTTTTCTGGATATTTGGCTCAAGTCGTATCATTGAAGTAACCAAGCGTCTTGGCAGAGTCAGTTCTAGCTTCCTTCATGTGTAAGCCATGGGCTATCATGAGGAGTATCTAAGGCTATGCGAGCTCCTGAAAATTTGAGGGCAAGCCCTTCGGCATAAAAAACTCAGTAATCTAAGGCGATCGACTGTTAGAGCCCTTTCCGTCTTCCCGTCCACTAAATCCAACCACCCTCGGTGACGTTCATGTCCCTGGCCGGACTTCTAGGTGGTCGAGGAGGAGGCCTACTCGCCCCTTCCAAAACACCAGAATCACCTCTCGATACGCTCTTCGATGGGCCGCCGTAATCATAAACAGACGACACAGGAACATTGATGGCCCCCGCATGGAACGGTATCATACTATCTCTCTTTCTCACGGGCGTCACTGGCCCTCCAATCGCAGCCTCGTGAGCCAGACGTTTCTTTTTCCTGGCCCGGTTCCAGATGAAGACGGTCACACCTAACAAGATGCCAAGAAAGGCAAGTGCTCCGACGATAGCCCCTGTAATTGCAGCAGGCGAGGCTTCGCCAGAGGAACCGGATGTTTCCGAAGGGATTCCAGGTAGCAGAAGACTCGTCTTTGTGGCGAGGGTAACTCCAGCTGTGGGTTGTGATAGTTCGGCTGTTGTGGTCGTCTTGGCGTCGTCACTGGTTTTAGGTGAACCATCTTTCGTGGTGGCTGTCACTGTGGCCCCTGGTATGAAGGATTCTGCCATTAAAGTCCCGACACCAGAGACTGAGCTGCATTGTAAGAGTGTGTAAGTTGCAGTATTGTCAATCGAACGCCAAGTCCAGCAGTCCGTGTTAGGATATGGCCCACTATCCGTTGTTAGTGGCTTCGATAAAATCTCAGTTGGGAAATCCTATATAGAATCGACTTACCAGCAGAGCTGGCCGGGCTCACATGCCCTCGGGGCTTTGGCTGTCTGCACGCAAGTCGTGGGTATGGGGCTGCCGCAGCCCATGTAGGACCCGGAGGAGATACAGTCCGCGGGTGGATTGATACAGGCATAGGGGATGGGCTCTTGTAAGAACCTGTGGACTTATTAGCTAATGTCGTTCGTCTGTCTTGCTTACTTGCGTGGCGTCGGAACGGGCCACCTCGGGGAAGGGATGCTTTACCCTAGAGTATTCGTCGCGAGCGGTATCCAACCGCATATCTCTTCCGCTGGCGCAACGACATTCTGGGAAACAATCGCGGCCATATTCGCGAAAAGATGAGGAAGAAGTCAATTTTGCATTGGAGAGGGGTAGTGATGAGAAATCAAGGGGGACAGAGAAGCATCTCGCGACAACCGTTTTGTAGTTGTGGCAAGCGTAGTATGATTCACCGTTCAAGGCGAGCTCGATCGAAAAGGGCTTCAAGCAGTCGTGACTCCAGTGATTCACTGAAGTGAGTGATTTGGCGAGAAGTATCAGATGAATGATCACCATGTTTGATCAAGCTCGGCCAGCTCAATTACTAGCAAGAAATATTACCAGGCCCATGTGCTCGAGACTATCAGTCGAATGACAATCGCATCAACCCGAGTCGGCGGTGTCATTGCCTTCAATTCCCACGGGTATACCATAACCAATAACCATCATTACCAAGACAAAAACCACGCCGTAGCCTCATCTACCTCATCACCTTCCCATTCGCAACCAACATCACGGAGCCGTTGCTCAAGCTTGCTGTGGCGGCATGTGCATGCCCTCCTTCTGCGGTTGGTACCCCTGGACAATAGGCCCCGTCGACAGACGCGCCTGCACCTCCTTGTCCTGCTGGATGAGCGCGCAGCACCCGCACCAGTAGCTCACGCAGCAGTCGGAGCCGCCGGAGCCCTTGATACCGAAGCGCTCGCGGATCTCGCCGCGCTTCATCATGGCGTAGATCCAGCCGCAGCCGGTGAACCAGGTGATGCCGCACATGAGCAGGCAGTCTGTGTTGATGGCCTCGTACGTCTGCATTGTGGGGTCGCGCATGCGCTCTGAGGTCTTGCCGAGGACTGTTGGGTGATGCGTAATAGTTAGGGCTCTTGGGTATAGAACGTGGAGGGGAGAACTTACGCAAGCACGGGAGACAGGTTCCCACGATACAGGTATCACAAGGACCGCAGTCCATCAAGCTTGACTGCCATTCCTGGGTCTGGACATTGGCGCCTTGAACGTATTCTTGCTGCATTGTCTGCTGGTGCTGGGGATGGGGCTGGTGCTGGTGCTGGTGCTGGAGCTGCTGCTGTTGAGGCTGTTGTTGCTCGTAGTACTGCTGCTGTTGCTGCTGCGGTTGCATTTGAGGCTGCATCTGGGGCTGCTGGTACTCCGCCTTGGGTTGCTGTGAGTAGTCCATGTTGACGGGTTGCGATGCTTGATACTGGTGCTAATGGGTGCTGAAGGTGACCGTTCGAGGGCAGAGGTTCCAGAAACAGAGAAACGTCGAAGAGAGCGTCGAAAAGCCAAAGAGCGAGGGTGAGGGATTCCGTGGTCTGATATACAGCAGCCAGTGGGCTTCATGTAAGACAAGGCGCGAGCAACGCTTCGACGAACGGGCTGATGGCTGAAGGCCTCAATACGGGTTGGACGAATGCAGACGGCCGATCACATCTCAAGAGTGGCCGCATTTGGTTTAACGGGAGGTGCCCAAGTAGTGGCTTAAGTCACCAGTGGTCACACAATAAAAGTACCTTGATCTCGTAGCTGAAAAAAAATATGGGAATAAAAACAAGCTTCAATACAAATTACCTCGTCCCCAGTCCAGTCCACACATGCGCTAGTGTAGGCTGCTGCTAGACAACGCCAATAGGCGTTTTTGATGACTTTGAGACAGGGACGTGCTTCTCGCTTGGGGGAATGAGGCTTTGCTCATGTCAAGCACTTTTCTCCGGTTCTCTAACCATTCCTCTGGAGTCTGGCAGGCCCATGGAGTTCGTAGCCTTGGTAGCGTTTTGGAAGGAGAGATGAACATCCCCACAACTCCTTTACTCACCTGTCGGCTGCCTGAATCCTGTGCGTCCGAGCCATAGCAAGAACTTTGTAGCCGATCAGCGCCGGCGTAAGAAGAATATGTCAGACCATGATCCGTGAATCCATTACACACTCGGCGAGTCGGCATGCCCCTCGACCTCTCGTTTCCCCCCTGTGGCTTGCTGGTCGAAGCGGTGATTGGAGACTTTGCTAACAGAGGCAGCAACCGGCTCATGCATCACGGCGGGGACGCTAGGCCCGACGATGTTGGATTGGCGTCCTAGGGCTGAGCTTGGCGGGCAAGGGGGATTTCGCGAGGCAGATTGAGGGCTGTGTTTGGCATTTCTTCTCCAAGCAAGGGGTATTGAGTTCACCTTCTTTCGTGTAGGTGTATTTTCCCGAGACTGTGAGATTTGGAGCCGCTGACTGTTGGCACGTGGTGGGAAAGTGTGCAACATGAGGGACAGTGCCATTGATCGTAGTGCCTGTGGTCTTAACGCTTCGCTTCCTCCCTCCAAGTTGGGAAGAAATGCCTGCCGGGTGTGGTGTGGGCCGGGCCTCACTCCGTCGTGTTTCCAGTGAACGGGCTCTGGCAAAGACGGGGCCAACAATGATCGGCACAGCTAACGTAGGCAGACACAGCTCTGAGTTGATCCTAACCGTGGTGATCGAACATGAGTCGTGGAGAAAGGTGCGTGAGAACTTGAGCAGAAGGGTGAGTGAGTTGTTCAAGGCAAGGCTCAGCTCAGCTCCTCCAGCTCACTGCACTCGGATCCAATAGCTGCGATAATTCCGACGAATGGGTGGAAACGGTCCCCCGATTTTAGGTTGGGATTTCCAGGCTGTCCCTGCAGTGGTCCCCTTTTCTAAACCCCTTGCAAGTTCCTGTGGTTACACTCTCTGACCCCTGTCATTCCATCTCATCTTACCATTTTGAAGGGTCCCAAGGAAAGGAGTGAGACTTCCGATGAGGCTTTGTCAAGCGGGCTTCAGCTTCTATTCATGGCCTGACATTGCCCTAAGCTGACTTGCTTCACTGCTAGATCATTAGGTAAACTGCTTGTCAAAATGGGCAGTCAGTGATACGCGACGATATAACATCTCTCCATCGTGTAACGCTCGATGCTGTCTAGTACTTAGGAATCTACATCGGGTTTGCCTATGTACACAGGCCCTCTTTTTGCAATACGGAGTCCGTCACCGAAGATGGATGGTTCTTGATGTCGGAGCAATTTCCGGCATATGGACTCAAAATACACATCACGCGTCTTCATTCACCGCACCAACCTCATCCAGATCTTCCTTCCCCTCACCCTTCTTCTTATCACGAACCCTCTTGCTCATGATGACATAATCCGGCACAAACACCTTGCCGAATCTCAACTTTCTCTCCACAGGCGACAGCGCATCAATCTCGAAGCCAAGCTTCTCATAAAACGCGCGCGCATCTGCGTTAGCGATGAAGCATGTCAACATCACCTTTTCAATTATGGGAATGCTCTCCGCCACTTTTACGAGGTAATCCATAAGTGTACGACCCACGCCCGTGCTGCATCGTGTTCTAGTTAGCTTCTCTTCACGTCATTGACAGTTGGAAGTGTGCGCTGCCGGCATGAGATCCCGATCCTCCTCCGTGATGGTGCTGACAGCGCGATGGGCTGAGCCCCCCGCCTACCGGTCCCGCGCCGATTACCCTCCCCCGGGCTCATCCTTCGAGCAAGAAAACACGTAGGAAACGTCCTAAAACTCACCCTCGTAATTCCTCTAGGAGGTGGATCTCATAGCAGTATACCACAGCCTCACCCTCCTCAAAGGTAGGCATAAGACTCGTGAACCCACAAATCTTGTCCTCCGCAGCATTTTCGCACACCTCACTCTCGTCATTACCAGCGGTAGCTGCATCAGGTGCTGATGAACCCGACTTTTTGACGAGGATATATCGCAATCCTCCACTCTTCATCTCCCTCATCTTATGCGCCGGCCGCCACCCATCTTTTGAAGCGCGGTAATCGGCTCCACTGGTGTAGTCGATGAGATCGAAGCACGCTTTCAGCTCACTCTGTGCGAGCTGCGCCGGGGACTTGAGTGAGAGGGTGTACGATGTGCCGCTCTTGGGGTGCGTCCAATTCGTCCACTCGGGGCTGGCATCGTTGTGTGAGACGTGAGCACCCGGGAGAGGTTCGGAGCTATCTTGAGATACGCCTGCGTGGATGTGAGACGAACCTGGGCTGGAGATGGTCCCTGATAAAGTCGGCATCGGATTTGCGGTTCGCTGCCTCGATGGGGTTCGTTGGGGCCCTGCGGCGCTTGCGGGGTGGTGCCATCTTTCGGTTGGAGACGGGGAAAATATGAAACTCTCGTGGCGTATCTACAAGTTCAAGCGAAGAGAGAACGAAGGAAAAGTCAAGCTATGCAACCTTTAACTCCTAATTTGGGGAATGAGAACTCGGTGTAAAGTGACAACCCAATTCCACAGACCTCTGTCTCCCGTCACCGAGACCCTTGCTGAGCACTGGCTTCAAGTCCCGAAGTTTCCCCGTCCTGACCTCATCCACTCCAAAAAGTTTCCACACTACAGCCCAGAGCACCAATTGGCTTTGAAAGCATGAAAGCGCAGCAGTCTCATTTGATATTGGTAAGTGAGAAACATCAACGTCTAATTGAGCCGAAACGTATTCAGTCTCACACCCAATTCGCAGATGTAGTCGGAGCCTCCCATCCCTTGGCCCTAATGCCCTTCAAAAATCCCCTGTGGTCAATTGCCCGCAGCTACTCTACCCGGCCAGCGAGGTCGCGGCTCGGGAAGAAGGCCTTGAGCCTGGATCATGTAAGAACCATTGCCATCATACTCTCTCTTCATGTCACTTTTGCAGCTCTTCACATGAGAATAGCGACCAAGAGTTTCAATCAATGACTGTGGAAAAATGTACAAGTACATGCTCACACTTTCCATAGTTCCTCCAGAGATCTCGCGTCATATCCCTCTACCGCGAAATCATCCGCGGCACACGGCGCATCGCCGACCCAAACACCCGCGCTGAGTCGAGACGGTACGCCCGCGATGAGTTCGAACGTCACCGAGATGTGACGGACCTTGTAAGCTCCCACGTCCCCTGCGCCCTTACCTCTCCTTCTTACGGGACTGACAATACTATGCTCCAGGGACACATCCGCTATCTCATCTCAACAGGCAAGACGGAGTGGCAGGGCATGGAACGATACGTCGACGGAATGTAAAGTTCTCATCATTGTAAAACCAGTAAAAAGGATCTTTGTATAATACACACCACAAAAGGTCTAACCCTCGCTGCAATTTGCTTCTATAGCTTGCAAGGTGCCCCGTGATGGAGGGGGATCTTTCTAAAAACTCCAGTGGGGCAATGGTATCGATCCCATGGACGTCTCTCAAAACTTGTCTACAGTCGCAACATCCTCACGTGCTGTCGCTCGCCCGATGCTCCATTTCTCTGAGCTTCCCCGGTCCCTCCTCTCTGTATGGTACAAGGTTTTCATACACACCACTTCGTTGATAGTCTCCCTCTCTGAACCCAGAACCGAAGAATCTCTCAAGATTGGCGTTGCTTGTGTCTGGGGTTCGCCTTGCAGATGACGTACAAGTATCCGTTATGTCTCTTGCCCGCCTTGCGTCTAACAATCTGTGGCGCATGAAGTTAGCAAAATGTCCATACCAAAGCTCAGCTTCACAATTCGAATCCTCCTCTGGTCGTCCATCCGGATATCCTCAATTCCACCTCCCCGAATCAACCTAGCCCATCCCCCAACGGCCTTCCCCCTCCCCCATAAACATGGAAAAAGCATAGGCTTACCTTGCAGTGCTCACACCTCTTCTTAACGGAGCTGTGCACCTTCATCCCCCTCGTCTGCTGCACCAAGGCATTTACCACGCCCGAGGCGCTCTTTCCGACCTGCGCGAGCATCGACTCGCTCTTTTGCGCCGGCTGCTTCGTCAGGATCGCCGTCGAGAGGGCGCGCGTCGCCGTGATTGTGGCAGCGGAGCTGGCGGCACGGGGGACCGTTGCGCGGGCGGTGCTGAGGGTCAGGGCCCTGAGGGAGGCGGCGAGGGAGGAAGCCATTGTGTAGTCTTTTCTCGATTTTCCTGGTCGATGTGTCGTCGGGCGGATTGTGAGAGGAAAGGTCGGACACGGTGGAAGTCGGGAGCTTAGGCTCTGGTGAGTTGGAAGTCTGATGGGTGCTGGAGCACGAGACTTGTCTATTGAGAGCTATCCGGAGCTACGAGGTCCGTATTTCGTGGTGAGGCGTGGAGCTTCGCGATGCCGACTGCTCTGGTGTTGAAGGGGGCCTGGATGGCCTCAGTTGGAGCATTTTCGACGGCTTGGCGTTCATCACGTGGTGTTGATGTCCGTGCGCTTATCGGCACCAGAACTCTTATCGCTCAGCTGCGGTATCGGATGAAAAGGCATCGACGATGGGATGACATTATTTTGAAAGTTGCGCGCAGCGAAGTACAGTTGACATGCAAGCAAACAAAATAGGTCATGTAAATATCCTCAATTGAGTCTGAATAGTCTATCTACAAGAGGCGGCTTTTCTTCTTCCCAAAGCTGCACCAGCATGCGTGATATTTCCCAATGTTCCGTTTTCTGTCACCCAAATGTTTGCAAAAACGCCCAGCGCCGTACGAAAATCAACCGCGTAAACGGGTTTTCCAAGCCTTCAATCCTCTAACTACGGAGGAAAGTCTTGAAGACGGCCGACTGGGTGCAGTCCTCCCACGGGTATCCAATCTCAGTCAAGAACGTCTCCAGTTGATCAACCTCGTTGTCGGGGCAGAGAATGCCCGCCAAGATCTTACCCGTGTCACCACCGTAGTTACGGTAGTTGAACAGACTAATATTGAACTTGGGACGCAGGGTCATGAGGAATTTCTCCAAAGCGCCGGGCCGCTCAGGGAAGTTGAACATGTACAAGCGCTCGTTGGGCACGTTGGAGCGACCACCGACGAGGTACCGGATGTGGCTCTTGGCGAGCTCGTCGCCCGAGAGATCCGTCACCGACATGTCGTGCGACCGAATGCGCTCCAAGAGCATCTGCAGCTCCTGTGTTCTTTGCGATGCAGGGGCTGTCAGGGAGATACCAATAAGAACATTGGCGACTTCGTCGGTCGCGTAGCGGTATGAGAACTCGGTCACGGAGTGGGGCATGATGCTGGTGATGAGGTTGGAGAAGGCACCGGGCTTCTCGGGAATGCTGACCGCCAGCAGGGCCTCCTTACCCTCACCAAGGGTGGCGCGCTCAGCGACGAAACGCAGCCTGTCAAAGTTCATGTTGGCGCCAGAGGTGACAGCCACCATGGTCTTGCGGCGATCGCTCGGGTTCTGAGCGACGTATTTCTTGAGGCCGGCAATGGAAAGGGCGCCGGCGGGCTCGAGACCGGCGCGAGTGTCGTCGTACATGTCCTTGATGGCAGCGCAGACCTCGTCCGTGGTGACTTGGATGACCTCATCCACAACGTCCTTGCAGAGGCGGAACGTCTCCTCGCCGACGGTCTTGACGGCGGCACCGTCTGCAAAGAGGCCGACGCTGTCCAACACCACTCGCTCTCCCTTGGCCAAGGACTGGACCAGAGCGTTGGCGTCGTAGGTCTCAACACCAATGATCTTAACGTGGGGCGCCATGCGCTTCACGTAGACACCAATTCCGGAGATGAGGCCACCACCTCCGACACAGCAAAAGATGGCATCGAGCTTGGACATGTTGATCTGGCCGAACAGCTCCATACCAATGGTTCCCTGGCCCGCAATGACGTACGGGTCGTCAAATGGCGGGATGTTGATCAGGCCGTCCTGCGCCGCTCTCCGGCCGCACTCCTCCTTGGCGGCATCGAAGTCGGCACCGTGCAAGACAACGTGTCCGCCCAGGCGCGCAACGTTCAGATGCTTGATGCTAGGTGTGGCTTCGGGCATGACGATGGTCGCGGGAATTTTGAGCTTGCGGGCCGAATAGGCAACGCCCTGAGCGTGGTTACCGGCGGAGCAACAGACGACGCCCTTCCAGCTAACGGCGGGGTCGAGGTGGGCCATCTTGTTGTAGGCGCCGCGCAGCTTGAAGCTGAAGACGGGCTGCTGGTCCTCGCGCTTGAGTAGAACATTGCACTCGAGTCGGTTGCTGAGGTTAACGGCGGGCTGGAGCGGTGTGACCTTGCAGGCTTCGTAGACGCGGGACGTCGCGGCGGCGATCATTCGGAGGTACTAGACGCGCATACAAATGATTAGCGGTGGTCCCAATTGAGCCATTAGCATTGCCATTGGGGAGTATTCTCACGTCTGGGTGGCCATCAGGCAGCAGAAAGTCCTCGGGAACAACACCCTTGATGCGGCTCCTTCTCTCCTCTGGCGGCGTGGACGGGTTGGCGCTGTACTCAGTCAAGGACATTCCGGCGGGCTGCGGTGTTCTTGGGCGCGGCGGGTGGTCGCCATTGACGCCATTGAGTGTTCCGTTGGTCATGACGGCGACAACGGGGGGCTCTGCGTTCTCTGACATTGTCCTGATGTCTTGGGAAAGGTGTTTGTGAGAAGAAGAGGAGTCACTAAGACCGGGACAGAAGCAGAGGAATCGCCCAAGAAAGAGTCACGAACGGCGGGCCCCAACAACCTAATCAACGGGACCAGACCGGCCTGAATTAAACTGGAAATTTGTTCATAGTGGGGCAGATATCGGAGCGCAAGTCGGGCTCGCGGGGTAGAACATCAGACGGTTTTTCTTGCGGTGTGTTGGCCAGCGCTGCCGTCCACGCCCTGTCAGCAGCTTCTCTGGCGCTGGAGATTGGCTAACGCACCCTTGTACCTGCTGTAGCGTCAGCAAGGGCGTCGTGCCCCCCCTGCTGTCAGTGTCCGTCACGCTGGGAGTTGAGGGCGACATCGCTGACACTGCAGACCGGGGTGTCTTATCGGGGCATGGACTGTGCGTCACATTATCTTATCAGATAACAGCCCGATAATACATACATATCTTGATAAGAATCCGAGCTGCACAAAATGTGGCTGGAGAGAGAGCAAGTTAAGCCACACCGCGCCGGCCGGGATTTGCCGCAAATCTGCTCAAGGGTCGAAGCTCTGGGCGCCGCGCAGCCAGTCCCCGAAAGCTAGGAGGGTCTCGGAGTCCATTTCATCATCGAATTCGCCGACTACTGCACTTTGGGGGAATAATCGCACGACCAATTTCCAACTCCACGATTGCGACTACTTCAACCACCATAACGCCAATTGCAAACCGCCAAAATGCCCGGCCCAGACGGAAAACCCTCGTTGCTCGATCAACCTATGCCATCATCTTTTGACGAGAACAAGTAAGCCAGTCCGCACCCCACTGTCGGGCTCTACGGGAGCTGCACATCATCAATAGTCTAGGAATTGGAGGTTTGCTAACCCACGCACGCGACCCGCAGCGAATTCTACGATGAGCGCGTTCTTCACAAGGCCTTCCGCAAGCTCAAGGAGGAGCCTCTGATCCCCCTCGGTAAGCAATTGCTCTCACCACTGCCCCTCTCTCCCCCGGAAACCTGCTGCATCTAGCCATTCTAACCAGTGTCGCAACCACAGGATGTGGTCTGACCGTCTTCGCCTTCGTCAACGCCTGGCGCGCGACCCGCCGCGGCGACGCCAGACAAGCCAACAAGATGTTCCGCGCCCGTGTCGCCGCCCAGGGCTTCACCGTCTTCGCCATGCTCGCCGGTAGCATCTACTACAACAAGGACCGCGAACGCACCGCCGAGCTGCGCAAGATCAAGGAGGCCAAGGACGCCGAGGAGCAGCGCCAGCGCTGGATCCGCGAGCTCGAGGCCCGCGACGAGGAGGAGAAGGCGCTCAAGGCAAGGATGCTGCAGAGGAGGGCGAGGCTCGATGCCAAGAACGCCGGTGAAGATACGCCAGCTGAGGGAGAGCAAGGCAAGACCGGGGGCGTGCTCGGTGCGCTGGGCTTGTCGGCGTGGAAGAAGTCTGAGGAGGGCGATGCTGCTGCGGGTGAGAAGCCGGTTGAGGAGAAGCCGCAGAAGAAGGAGAACCCTAAGAGCTCGCTTGGTGCCATTGGCGAGATTTACGGCAGAAAGCCGTCGTCGTCGGATGGGTCATCAGAAGAGCCCAAGAAATAAGGATGGACCAGGGCAAGATCGACACTCTGATTTGTATCACATCACGGCTACATTGTACAGTACTGGCATTGGCATCGACGCTTAGGACGAGCACATTGTCTCATTGAAGACTCCGCTCCGTCGTATATAAAACCGGGGGCGGCCGGCGGCGCATCTGGGTTGAATTGAATGGTTATCTGATATCTTGACAGAGGCAGGAGATGTGATCAGCCTTGGCGAAGCTGACCTGTCACTTGGCAGGCCAATCCTCGTATACCTATCCTCAGAAACGAGCGGCATGAATCAGCACGCACGCTGCAGTTGACCGGCTGTTATGAGGCCTTCCGGCGGGATCATGGTTGACTCCGTGCAAGCTCCACGACGGCCTCAGCAACGACAGCATGGCCATGAGGCGGGAGCAACGGAACCTAGCTCTCTTAGTTTTGGACTTATAACCCGGCTACGTGACTCTGTGCGTTCGTGGGCGGTCTAGAAATCTGAGGATGTCTGGACCGAAGATAAGCATTTCGTTAGAGGGCCAAACTCTGATAAACTTTGGGATGTTATTTGAACGCATTTCTCAAGGGCTCCTCGGTGTATATTGTCACAACACATCGCTACTACCTTAGTGTCTAAAGACGGAACCTGCCCGCCGGATCTTGGAGATCTGAACAAGTACGCAAGAAAGTATGCACCTCTTTTGTAAGAGAACCAATGTAATTCAGGTTGCTGTGCCTGAGTCTATACAGCCATGCAACACCAACTTGTCCAGTATACTAGGTAGAGACCGAGTCAAGTGAGTGCTTCCTCACAATTCGGTTCCTTGATGAACGAATAGCACAACTTATTGCAGCATTAAATACACTTCCATGGTCAAAAGAGCGACGTCAAAGCGGCTGCGAAGATGGGCGTCGCTCTTTTGACCAGTCCAAGGATGCGCCAACTACATGTTCTACCATTGCTGCGACGATAACGGCATGCCCGGCGGCTGAGCCACCAACATTATATGCCCCGGGAAGCTGGAGTCACTTACGGAATTGGGCGCGACATTGAATGAGTGCAACTAGTCCAAGAATTATCTCTTTCCTTATAGTGCTTTGAAAAATTGCGACATTAGGCGACGAAGCAAAGCTGCCGGCGCGACGGGGGCGGGCTCGAGCTGCAGAGACAAGGTTGAATAGGTGAATTAAAAAAGATCCAGCTTACTTGAGCTGTGTCTCGCAATACTCATTCGATTACTGAGAAACTTCGAGATTTGTGTATTCTTCAGCCTATCCCATTCTCAAGGCATATGCATCAGTTTGGTCCCATTCCTCTCATCAGTTGCGACGGGACATTTGCCCAGGAGCTGAACATAGTTACACTATAATCCTGAGTGCAGCCTGTAGGAGGACTTGGCTTTTGTCATTCCCTATGATAGTCATCGACCGACACTATTGATATGCCAAGGTGAGAGAGCAGGCATCCGCAAGTGTCAGTCAACTGAGGTGAGCTGTGTGCTGCATTTGATGACTAAAACTCGCATGGAGGGGCAAGGAGCTCGGGCCAGTGACAGTGACGTTAGCGGGGTTCCTCCACTGCTGGGGAAGGACGGGAGACCCGCACTGGTCTGACACCCGCTGAGCTGTGCTAAGGCCGCCCGTCGCTTTGTCTCCTGATGGAGGATGCACCCCAGACATTGGGCCTTCCGTCATCAACCTTCGCATCCATGCTCCTCCTACTTCTCCCTCTCTCTCCTTCTTCCTCCTCTTTCGACATGGCCATGGCTAGTGATGATTGCGCCACAGCATACTGTACAATTCTAAACCTCGACTTCGATGCCTCTTGAACCGAAACACAAAGCTCATCATGGGACAAGCCCTGTCTGACGAGAACTCGCGGCAGGCGACGCACGAGGAGCTCACTCGTGAACTCGTAAGTCGCCGGGTGCACTACCCACCAAAACCACACTGCACCCTCCGTCCTTGAACCAGATCAACCCATCATCTGTATAGTACTTACGCTGACCATCGATTACAACAGGCCACTCGGTTTGCTGAAAAGTGCTTCACCTCGCTCGAGCTATATTCGTTCAAAGATGTCTTCAAAAGCTTGGCAGATAACCAAGGCGATATCCGTTACTTGAAGGAAGACACACTCGCACGGTTCCTCGAAATACCCGATATCCTCCACGTCTCGCCTGTAATATTTCAGATGGTGTCCTACATCGGCGCCTTCCCCTTCTTGCAGGATGCTCCCGCGGTTCTCGGTATCGATCAGATGATCATGGTCATCGTTATCATGACGCAGAGACACAAGCGGGTTCTGGCCAAGGGAGCTACGGATAGGGCCAAGCTCCTCTTCAAGAGTCTCGCAGTACACGATCGCAGGGCATCTGAAGCAGCTGCTGCTGCTGAGGACTCTAAAGAGGCGCCGCCAAACGAACCCAAGGGCGCAAGCCATGCGGTTGGCTTCGCAGTCGACGAACCTGTGGACGAACCCGAGGAAGACGACGACGATCTCGAGATCGCAGCCTTTGAGCTTCTTGATATCCACGATGCCGTTTGGCAGGGTGATGCGCCAAAGATGCAAGGGGCCATGATACCCGCGGATAACTTCCGCAAGCTGCTGATGCTACTGATCCTGATTGCACCACTGAGTCCCCAGGAGAGTCTGTCAATGTACTCCACTCGGGTCAGGGGCGACGAACTGGAAAGCCTGCGCGCTACCGCAGAGAACATTCTGGCTGCCTTCTTGAATGTCGAAAAAGCCCCTGGTATCAAGTTTGGTCACTTCAACCGAGTGCTCCCTGTTTGCTTCCCGAACCTCTTCAATGGGTTCAGCCCCCTGTTTGAGCACTTCCTCTTCTCCAAGAACTTGGATTTCACAAAACACAAGGGCGAAGACCCCGTAGCCGCCGAAAAGCAGCCGGAGGAAGTCGTGCAACCTTTGCTGCAAGACACTGCGGAAATTCTCAACCTAAATGTCCTCTCACAACTATCCTTCTTCCTCCCAGGATCCGACCTGTTTAGAAGACTACGGCTTCTGTACTCCGGCAACGAAGACGGCTTCTCCACGGGAAGCTTCGAGAGCAAAGTCTTCAATTGGCGAGCACCCACCATCCTTCTGGTACGCGGCACTCGGCTGAATGACGCGCCTCACGGCAGTCAGGAGTCAAATTTTGCTGCCTCCATCCCTCCACGTCGCTTCCCGAACAGCGGCAAGGGAGAGCGCCTGACCTTCGGCGTTTATGTTAGTCAACCATGGAAGCACACAGCCAAGGAATGCTTTGGCGAACGAGACACCGTGCTTTTCCAGCTGGAGCCCGTCCACGATGTGTTCCCAGCTTCCAAATACAACTCGGATTACGTTGCCTTCACCAAGGCGCCTACTAATCGACCTATGCTCGGCGTCGGATGCCCCCATCCCCGACAGACGCAAGCTCACCGGAGGCAGACCATGCTGTCTCTCGGCGCCGTCTCCTTGCTACTCGACGACTCTTTCGAGTTTGGAGTGTTCACCCACGACTGGACCACTGGTGGCGGCGCATTCCAAACGAGCACGACGCGAAAGTTTGACTTTCAAGATCGGTTCGAGATTGAGAGCCTGGAAGTCTGGGGTTGCGGAGGGGACGAGGAGGCCAAGGCGCAGGCGGAGCACTGGGCTTGGGAGCATCGTGAGGCGGAAGCTCGGCGGAAGATCAATTTGGGCTCTGGTGACATTGAGGCTGATCGTGCGCTGCTTGAAATGGCTGGTCTCGTGGGCAACAACCAGAGTGGTGGCTCCATGATTTGAGTCTCGCTCGAGTTGTTCTCCTAATTACTCTTCATGTGCATTGCTACTACTGGGACAACAAGTCATAAGTTTCAGGGTGCTCTAGATTAGGTGTTTATTGGTTTTGTAGCATAGGATTCCCACAGACTATCCCCGACAACGATGACTTTTCAGTTCTTCACGATTCCTGTTGATGATAAGTCCTCCCAATTGTAATCATGCCCAAAACTTGAGCGTTATGTTGCCTTCAGCCACCATACACCACCACCACCACCACCACCACCCTTAAAGAGACCCAGTGAAGCCTGTGAAGTCGCCTTGCTGGCAATGAAACGACAAGCCTCGAGAGAGCGGACGAGCGACGTCTGAATCGTCATTCATTTGACCTCATACGCTGCGATAGCCACCTCGAAGGCGTGGTTGATGCCCTGCCCCTTCCAGATATCGTAGTCTAGCAGAGACTGGTGGTGCGGATCTCTCAACTTGCTGCGCAAGGCACTGGCAGAGGCCTAGTAATGATGGTACACGTGGTCAGCATCCCAGCGTCCCCATCATTCCACAGATACTTCGCAGTAGTGACTCAAAGCAGAAACTGGAATAGGAGCCTCACTCACCAACGCGGTATACTCGAGCTGCTTCACGACGTTGTAAATCCTGTGGTTCGCGTACGACTGGTACTTTGACACGGGGGCCTTGGCCGTGATGAGGCGAAGGAGCTTCTTCATGGACGGGTGGTCGCGGCGCCAGGGGAGATGAGGCCACGAGTTGCCAGCCTCCTCGGGTCTGTCGTTGTTGTTCTCAGGATGTCCTGGTGGTGGCGGCGGTGTGGTGGGTCTGGCGGGTTGGATTGTGACTGTGGTGGTGACGAGCTGCTCGTCGATGGCGCGGGGACGGTGGGCCATTGTGTTTGTTGGGAGGCCGATTGTCATGTTTGCTGTTGTTTGGGTGGGTAGGGCAGGGGCCGTCGTTGGGACGTGGGTGATTTGGAGTTCGCGGCCGGAGAACTGCGTTTTGTGAATACTTGTGATGGGGATGGATTAGGAGGGGGGAATGGGGGAAAGCGACTTACGTCTTGGTAGCATTTGAGGATGTCGAATTCATCTTCGTAGTGGAAGTGTGCGTTGACGAGGGCTTGTTCAATCTTCCAGAGGACCCATTCGATGTGACGGAGGCCGTCTAGAACAACCTGAGGTGGGGATAAGTGAGTTCTTCAGAAAGGAAATGATGAGGTCAAGGGAGTGGGAGAGAGTTGAGGAGGTAGTCAAGGTCATAACACGAAGGACGGCAGAGAGAAAACTTACGATATAAGGTCCCTTGTTGTGGACGAGCCAAGGAACATATTCATACTGCCACTGATACACAGCAGTCTGCAAGTCCCCAGTCTTCCACGCAATCCCCTTGTAATATTCACAAAGCTGCTCTCTGGAGATACCCTCATGATGCCCATGGGGCTCCCGATGCGGGGGATCCGAGTGAGGAGGATGAGGAGGCGGAGGAGGGGCGACACCGCTCCTCGCAATGGAGTTCACCGCCACCGTCGCGGCATCGCGGAGGCTCTCACCCTCATCAGAGGCAGAAACAGAACCAGCGAGGGCGGCCGAGGCGTCGAGTTCGATGGCGGCCCAGGCTACCTCACCCGCGGCGGCGAGCTTGTACTCGTCGTTCTTGGAGAGGGCGGTGGCGGGGAAAAAGGCGGAGGGGTCTATGCCGTGGACGGGGCCGGTGATGAAGTTTTTGAGGGGTTCGCGGATGGCAGCGTCGAGGGTTGAGTCTGGGACTATGATTGGTTTTGCGGATTCTGGGATTGTGGCGGCGTGGGTGAGGGTTAGCAGTGCTGCTGGGAGGAGGAGTTGGGACTTCATTGCGAAGGATTGGGATGAGGAGATTGAAACGAGTGTGATGATGAGGGAATTGGAGAGGAGGATTATGAGGGGGCCCGTTTGTTATATAGATCATCATGGCATCTCTGTTGGATAGATATCCTGAATTATCTACAGACTACGTCGTCTTGTGGATTGAGTTCCGGGCCGGAGTGGATTGTGCGTGATGCCCGGTTGTGCGTTGACCTGGAGGGACAGTTTACCGAGAGAAGCTGATGATAAAACTCTACTCGAGAGATGGCGCTTCTTCCCGGGTCGCCCTACTCTAATACGGCACCTCGAGGAACAGAGAACAATCAAATACGAATCTACACGGCTTCTGAGTGTCCAAAGTCAAGCATGTGCTGTCCAAAACCTCAGACGCCTCCCCTAAGCCATCAACCATATGTCGACGGCCCGTGACTGTGAGTTTCAATATTTCCTGTCGTGGTCCGAACTAACGTTTTCTTTCCGCGGGGTAACCACGTTTCCGGCATTGGAGAGCATTTCTTCCTGTTTGTCCATGATACATCAGAGCGAAACGAACGTGTCTCTACGCTTTTGCTATGTGATGTGGGAAATCCGAGTGGATTGGTTTTGTTCGAGTTTGGAGAACCAACAGACTAATACCAATACGGAGAGGAAAGATCATCACCCATATGGGAGAATCCCATGGAATCACAAATATTCCCTCATCGATGGCGCGCCTTCGGCTTTCGGGATCTTGTGTCACAGAAGACGGGGGGTTCTCAAGGGAGCCACTTGTGTTCAACAGCTTAGATAGAGTCTGGAAATCTCGAAGGAAAGCTGGATCTATCGAGTCCATAAACAACTCGTGAACAGCCGATGTGCATTTTTAGACTACTCTATTTGATATGCGGTGGCAATTTGTTTGTGCTCCGATCATATAGTCATGAAAGGGATAGTGATGACTGCAACCCCTGAGTGGATGACTTCCAGGTCTCTGGCATAAACGCAGTGATACTTGGCACGTATTCTTGTAGACTCTAATCCTTCTCTTGCCAACTGTACTTTGAGAGTGTGTCACAACTCTCTTGAGTCAAGCATAGAGAGGGTGTCGCAGGCTGGAGATGAATCTCATTCATCTATTCATCAATGCATCTATCGTCAAGTATCCTACCGAGGTCGGGCGCCTGCAGAAAGGAGAAGGTCATCTGTCTTCTCATGCCTACCTACCACGTAAGCTATGTGTGCGTGCCCTTTCATAAAAGGCGTCCCATCTGAGAGGCCCAAACCACTCTTCACAAGATAGCCAAAAGTCGAAAAAAACAAAAGCAACCCGAGCCAGTATTGAACCTCTAGCCCACCTACACCCGAAGGTCAGCGATGAAGCTTTGGTGGACCATTCAACCAACGGACCTAAATACCCGGATTGCTGGGAGTTGAGGAGGCCTGACTACAGATAAGGAAATGGTTGGGGGGGGGGGGGCGCTTGAGGTGGGAAATGAAGTGGAAGGAAGGAACTCTATGGCAAGGTAGTTACTAGTAGGTAGACACGGAAAGAGGGTGAGTAGGAACTGAGATGGAAGGAAAGTGCGCCTTCTTCCACTCCAAGAATGAATGGAAGGGAAGCCCTGACCGTGGGAAGGTACTAGCATAAGGTATTGTATGCGAAAAGCAAGAAGGATCAGGAAAAGGAAAAGGCATCCCGAGACTCAGAACTAAGGTACCTTCAGCAGGATTCACATAATCTCAATTCCTGAGGGCTGGCTGGAAAATGCCTGGGTGGGTTGGCTGGGGTATATCTCTATCGAGAAGAATCATCAATACGAGCCCAGGACAGCATGTGTACTTGTTATATTCTTTATTTTCTGATCAGATAAGCAGCAGTCAGGCATGCCAATGCTCACATACATCTCTGACCACTGCCTCTCTCCTCCGTCCCACAACTCCATCGAAGCGGGGGTTTTGGGGGTAATAATAAAAATGAGTCGAGCCACACCATATCCCAACCTCACGCCCGAGGCCTTTCAACACTCTCAAACACCAAATTGGAATAAAGATGGAAAAATAGTATGTGGGAGAGGCATTCCCCTCTTGTGATAGACCACTCCAGTTCCCTTTTCCCAATCAAAAACAGAATCAGATCCCAATCCTTTGCTCTGTACAGTAACGTGAACAACAAAGTAGCAACAACAGCAGTGCGGAAAGATGGCCATCCCGTGCCTTATGCAACGCGAACAAACGGACCTGACCCAAATGCTCAGTACGACACCTACTCTCCTCACTCGAGGCCCCCGGCCGCCGGTCGCTCGCTGTGGTGTGTCGTCTAGGTAATACATGGTGCGCTTTCTAGCTGCGTCGAGTTCAAGAAGATGATGACTCGGAGTCCTTAGCCGCCAAGAGCTCAATCATCTTCTCGTATTCTATGTCCTTGTCCAGAGGATCGCGGCCAACGGCCTCGCAGGACTCTTGGAACACCTCATCTGCCGAAGAGGGCTTCTTGCCCGCTGTCTTTTCGGTTCTCTTCCACTCTTCAAACCATTTCTTATTGAAACTCCGAACGAATTTGGACGTCACAGGTCCCCATTGCACTGACTGCTGCTTGGGAGCCGGGTGCTCTGGTGCTGTTGACTCTGGTCTCGCTATTAGGCCGCTCAGGCCAGGGGTATCTTTGCCATTTTGCTCGCTGTTGGGTTCTTGCTCTCCACGTGGCAAGCGCATGGCGAGAAGGACGTATTCCGCCCTCGTCATATTGTCCATCACATCGTCCATGTACCTCATGACTTCTTCCTGGGGTGCCACTGCTCTCTGCAAGTACTCGAGGTGACGAGCTGATTGAGCGTACAGCCGAACGGTGACAGGCTGGTAGTAATCAAGCTTGGCATCGCCTCCATACTCTAGCTGACTGCCCTTGCGAACAATGAGGAACGATGCGATAGCCTGCTGTCCGCCGGGCAGATACTCGAGAATGCTGTATTTTGGAAACAGGTAACGATCGCCATTTCCGCCAGCAAAGTCGAGGCAGACGCCTGAGATCTCAGGCCTCGCAGGTGGCGGAGGGCCCTTTGACCGAAGGGCTTGCTGAGGGGGATGCTGTATTTGTGGGGCTGCTGGAGTCGGGGCCGGTGAAGCAGCAGGCGCAGCTGCCGCTGGTTTGACGGGATGGCCATTCGCGGTGCCGTTGATGGCAGCCTGTGT